GCAATGGACCATAAAATAATGATTTTTCATAGTCTAATTACATGGCCAGAGTTTCGGAGGTGCTGAGGGCACCTGAATTTTACAGACTCAACACAGCTGCAGCAAATTGAGCCCATCAGCTCCTTCATCTTCACTGAAAGGCACTTCCTGCTTTTTAATCACCAAAGTCCTCTGTAAGACAAACATACTCCCATATATAACAAAATACCTCTTATTAAACCAACCGATACAGATCGTTTAGAGTGTTGACTGCCTCAGCCTACAAACCTTGCTTCACTTGCAGAAATTACTGCTCACAGGAAGTCTTTAGCCTGTCTAGAATATCTGGGTGCCCGTTTCTCTTCAGAATATGGATGGAAAGCAGGTGCCCAAAAGCCTTTCCACCAAATATGCTGACAACTCTGAAATGAGATTTAAGCAATCGCTGGTGACGTGGCAGTGACTCAGAGCGTGCCAATCCCATGCTCGACCATGCCTGGAGACAGTTCTTCCCCATTCACCCCTAGTGCTCTGGGCTTAAGATTACACCTGATTTGAAGCATCCCCTGACGAAATAAAACAAGCCTTAAGCTGATCACCTTGCGCAATGTGCAAGCACACAATAGTAATCACCGCTAATGACTCTGCTAAATGCTAGGCTGCACACACCTCCTTGTTTGGTGTTTGTTTTGTATACAGAAGGTAACATCGACTGAATAACGAGGATGCCAAGTTACAGATGGGGTTGTGGAATCGTATTTGACAGCCGATTAGAGTAATCTGACAGAAATGATGACTTAATCACCACGACAGACTCCAAATTCCCAGATAGAATTCCACCCAGGTTAATCTAATTTCCTTGCAATATTTTTGCCAGAAATAGACTCTTAGCCAGCTTGTTTTCTCCCATGCAGATGTCACATGGCTTTGACAAGAATGTAAATGGGTAGCGTTATTATTGTCGAAAAGATGACTTTGAGGCTCTAAAGCTGGAGAGGATGTGTGCCTTCGAGAGGTTTTTGGGTTGCTCTGCTGTGTTTTTTTCTGCGTTGAAGTTAGATTTACATACGGTGAGATGTACTCAGGAAAAAAAGGGGAAAAAAGAGATGTAACTAGTCAATTGTAATTCTAGGCCATGGTTCGGTCCTGCTGCTGCCCTCAACATAGCCAGCGGCCAGATTCGCATTGATTTCAGGGGGATTTTCAGGATTGCATGTTTGACAACTGTTTCTTTTCCTTTTTGGTTCCCGTGGACCACATCAGCACCCCTGCTTGGGATGCACCCAAGGAGAAGCAGCGGCATGCTTGGCCTCAGGCTTTGCATGGCCTCCGTGACAGCACAGGCAGCGGATGGAGCTCCTGCTCTGCTGCCAGCGCTGCCGCAAGGCACCGCGCAACCTTGGGCAACAGGCGTTTGCCTGCTCTCGGTTGTAAAACAGTGGTGAAGGTGTGCTTGGAGACATGTGGATAGAGAGCACTTATAGGAAAGGCAGGTCATGCCACTACTGGCTGCACAGCTGCATCCCTCAGAGCTCTCTAAAATATCGCCAGGGAGAGGTTATTCCTTACAGCCCGTTCTCCGGGCTGGTTTCGATATCCCCATGCACGATGCTTGCCGGGGGAAGCTGCCCACACCCGGAAAGAACTTGCCTGAGAGCTGTGGTGTTCTCCTTTACTACAGGGTCTGAGCACAGGATGATGTTAATGTCTATAAATTATTCACTGCAGTTACTTTTCACTCTTGCCTATTTATTAATTGCAACTGTGCATTCATAAATACTGTATTTTTATAAGCAAAGCTTTCTTCAAGCACAGAAGAAAATGTTTCCTGTTTTTCTGTGTGACAACATGACATACTGAGAAATCACTTACCTTGAGATCCATAAGTGTATGGTTTTGTGATGTATAGCTACAATAACAGCTTTCTGATAAGACATGAAATCCTTCATTTCAGTAGATGACATGATTCTAGTGGGTGGCATCTAATTTGAAACAGGTTTATATCATCTATAATCTTTTGGAGGGCCCCGGAAAGCACAGCTATTTTATTATTTTATAGCCTGCAGTTATACAAGCAAGATATAAAATGCACAGATTATTTTCTCTTTTGCTCATCGTAGAGTGAAAGGATAGTACCTATTTAGCCTTTGTCTCTGCCCCTTTAATTTTCTTATTCACTGCACACTTCTTTGAGATTCATTCTTTCCTTTTCTTTTCTTTTTTTACACTTACTTTTAAATATTTTATGGGTAGAGAGCTTATAATATGTATTGTCACGGCAGTTGTCTCTAGAGGTCAGCAATGAGTTTACTAATGAGATGCGAACCAGTGACTCTGTAAAACCCATTTCAGGTTATAAATGGCATGTTTTATTGAATCTGGTGTTAAAGGTTGTTAACGTATCAATTGGTGATGGTCAGGGTTAAACAAGCTTCAACACGAGCCCTCTCATGTTAGGAAACTGTCAGTAACGTATTTTTCCACCTTCCTCTTTGCTGAAGCCATGTTTGTGTATCGCATCCATTTTACCATGGGTATTCTGCAGTTTAAACCCTCCAGGCCTGATCTGAATCTTTTATTAGCTTTGCACTGATATAATTTTGCTAAGCACAATGGCATCACTCCTGACTTTGGCTTGCTGGTGCGAGAGAATTTGGACTATGTTTTTTTTAGCAGGAATCTTTGAAATCAACTCAAAACCCAGGTGAAGCTGCTTGTTATATCTTGCCTCTTGCTTTGGCAATGTAACAGACTACTGACTTAATGAGCTTGGGTTAATTATGAATAACAGAAGAGGATGATTTCCAATGTGGTAACTGTGTTTGTCAGGTAACGCTGGGTTTATATTGAGACCGTGGGGCTGCAAAAATAACTTCTTCATGTGAATTTGGTCTAAAGTTGGCTTCTCTGGTTCAGGCAGTTTGAAAAGTGAAAGGTTTTTAACGTTGTTATAATTGCCTTTATTCAAAGTATGTCCACTTAGGGACGTATAAACGCAGCTAGAAAGAGCGATAGAATCTCTGTCTATGTAAGGCCTGGATTTGGGTTGGGTTTTTCTTCTATAACCATATTACCAGATTTACAATGCTCAATTCTCTTTCCTCTATTTTCTCACCACTCCATTGCTCCGCATAGACATCAATACCTGCAACGGGCTCATGGAGCAAGTTACACCTTTTTTCTTTGTTCACTTTTTGCTTGCTGAGTGGACATGCTGCATCACATTCCCATGAATTTGAAGTCTCCTGCAGTGCCCAATGTATTGTTGATGCCAGGATAAATGTTAAGCACTAGTTAAAGAAGATAGAGTACAACAGAAGTTCCCTTTTTTCTATAAATTAGTTTGAATAAGAGTGGTGGCAGACAAGTGCTGGGCTATTAAAGTCCATTTGGGAAACAAATGATTCAGAGAGAACAGAATTGTTAAAATTGAAGCGAATTTATGCATCCTGGTGACTACATCCACCTTGTGGCTTTGCCTTTTCCTTAGGGCACAGTGGGGAGTTTTGCAAGCAGTAAAAGGAATGCATTGATTTGCAGGGCCAGGGAGTGTTCTGGACTTTGAGTACATCTTAGGGAAACATTCACAGCAATATTTTATATTTTCTAAAGAATCTAGCAACTGTGTCCCTGGAGGTTAAGTGACTCCACCAAAAGCAATGCAAATTTGGTTTTCTGTGCTGCTTTGAAAGCACATTTGATATGAGTGCATGGATGTTCTCTCCTGCTCAGCTGGTTTTGTTTCCCAAAGTTTGCCATAATAGTCTTTTATTAAAAAAAATAGAATTGCCTCTGACATTTTCAGGGAATATTTGGCTCTGCTGCACTGAAAAATGATACAAAAGCAAAAAGAGCATAGTCTTTTTTATACATGCTTACGTGAAATGGTGAGGAACTGCTGAGGAGAGAAAAGGCAGTGGCCCTGTTGCTGCCCAAAGGTTTGTGCAGTCAAATCCCAACAATTCTGCAGAGCCCGATGAAAGAAAAGAGGGGTCTTTTGCAAACTTAAATGTCTCCCACATTGAAACTCAAAGGGAGGTCAGTTCTGAAGGCTTTTGAGAAGCTGTACCAAAGTTTCCCTGAATCCATCGTAGTGGACACAGGGCTGGCTGTAGCCAATGTCCAGTGGAAACGGCACACACTCTGCTCAGGAGCTCAATTGTTGTGGTGTTGCCATTCCTGAAACAACAGAAAACACCATTCGTACAAATTTTGTTGGAGTTATCAACAATTCAATGTGGGGGAAGCATCATATAGTACTGAAAGCTGAGAACACTCCATACGGAGCGTGCCAAGGTAGGATGCCATGTGACGTTCAGCACAGCGTGCTGCTCACAGGGGTTGGTTTCTTTTGCAGTAAGAGGGACATGGGTGGAGGAAGAGGTTGAAAAAGCATTAAGAGGTTTTAAGAAAACCAGAATTGTGCCGTGTTGTGATGAAAGCTTTATGAATGAATGCATAATGTATTTTTTTAAAAAAAAAAAAAGATAGATACTAAAGAGTTATAGGAAGCTATTATAGGAAGCACAAGTCTCTTCCTCTTCAGTCCTGAAAGAATCAGCACATGTTTTTTTAATTACAAGCAAAGTTCATTTGTCAAACTCAACTCCTCTGAGTATATTCAAAATGCTTGCTAGCTCTTAAATTACTTGAAAATTCCATCTCGGTTTTGGCAGTGGTTGAGCTCAAGGAAAAAAAGTTGATAAAACAAAAACCAAGCATGCCATAAACTAACGAGGGCTGTAACTTTAGAGGTCTTCTGAAACTAGATACAGCAAATTAAAGTTTTTTATGAGTCCTGCGGGCCCAATGATCTATTTTCTTTAATCTTCCTGGTTATAAAATGCTCCTTTACCATTTTATTTTTTCTTAAAAGCCTATAATATAGTGTTATTTTGGATTTATATCATTTCAACATGTTTAATATTAATCACGTATCCTTTAAGCCCTTCATTAAAAACATGATTCTTGATTTTTATGACTATCCAACCTGCCTTACTCTCTTTCATTTTTGTTTTTAGATGCATCATCCTATTCAGATGAAACCTGCAGATAGTGAAAAGTCAAATGGTAGGTGTTTAATTTATTTTTACTCAATTGTGACTCTCTCTAAACTAAAGCAAACACAACATTGTGAGAGTTTTTGCTTTACTCCTTGTGTGGTGAAAACGATATGAGGTAGTTTCTCTACACCTGACGTGTTGGGGAAGATGTTGGCCTGCTCTGAACTCCCATTTATCCTCAGCTTTAAAGAAGGAAGGAAATGTTCTGAAAAACGGTCTTCCTCGTATCTGCTGTATGTTATGGTCTACCTCATTACATATGTCTTTCCCTTGTGTTCTCCTAGCAGCAAGGTGATGCAGGAGCACCTGCTATTGATAAGATGGAGATTAAAATTTAATGGTGAGAAGGAAAAAAAGAAAAGAAACAAAAAACATTCGCATGATAAAAACCCATGTGAGCAGCTGATGGGCCTTAAACATTTGCCTAAACTTTCTTTTTATAGAATGATGCTGTTCTGAATCTGAGCCAAATTTAGGTTTTAATCATATGCTTGGTTCTGAACTGGGAAACCCACCTTGCAGCTCTCTGTATACTTACTCCTCACAACGACTGTAAAATGAATGCTCTAATGACAGTAATATCCATTCAGAATACTAGGGTGCTGCCTAAGTGGATGTATATGACATGCAAAATAGATGGCATGCTAAATCTATTAAACATGCCAGGTTTGTATATTCAAGGAAATAAGATAATCGGATGGTAACGCAGCCTGGCTGTGTGTGATTCTTTAAAAATATATACATGTGTATATTTTGCCCCTTGATTTGTTCCTGTAATTTTCTAAAATATATGTTAAAGATATCATCTGCCTTCTTAGATTGCAAGAGCTTCATTTTCCCATAAGGCCCACATAATCAGAGCTGGTTCCTCCAACAGGCATCTTTGCACCTCATTAATTAGTAATCAGGGCAGAAGCCGTGCACTTAGAGATCTACATACCTGCAAATGTAAATTATGATTGGGCTCTAAATCTCTCCGCAAGGCTTTTTTAAGGCTTCTTTTTTGCTAATTGTAGTGCATCCCATTTTCAGGCTTCTCCAAGGATTATAAAGTTTGGGGGGAAATTAAAACTTCACATTATGATAGCTTTCCTATTATGACAACTTTCAAAACAAAACTGGCCACAAGCACAGAAAATTTGAGCCATCGCCCATTTGTAAGGGAGTGGTGTTCTCTCTCTTGGGCTGAGTTTTAGCCGTGATTCGTTGTTTTCTTTGCTCAGAAGAGAGGCCAAGGCACCTGCATGGGCAGGAGGACCAAACTTTTCAAAGCACCACTGCAGTCAAGGAGGATTTTGCTGTTGGAATCCACACTCCACTCCCTAGTATTTATTGTGCTTGCAGTGAGCAAAACTTTCCCCATAGGTACAGGAACATTGGCCTGGACCCTCTGAACTAGGTATAGCCTCTGTGGTTTCTTCTTTCACAAATTTCACCTCAAGTTCCTTGGCAAATTAGAAGAATAAGAGGCAGTGTGCCAAAATAGACTCCCAAGGAGTTACTTGTTCATTGCCTGAAGTTTTTCTTCCTAAAGGAGATGAACATATTGGCAAAACACGATGGGGAATTGTGCAAATTCTGTCTTGCTCTGCAAATAACACCTGCTTCGAAAGCAGGGTAGGTTAGCTCCTCACTGCTGCTGTTAGACCAGGATTATCTGCACGATACTTCTGTCTGCACTGTGAGAATACTCTTAAACTTCAGAGTATTCTCTTGCACCTATCCCTATCATGAAAATTATGAGGGATTGACTTTTTTTTTTTCTTTTTTTCTTGTCTGCCTTTGTATTTTGGGGAAGAAACATTGACAGATCAGAGGTTGCAGTTGTCAAGTTAAATGCCTTTTTGAATTTAGACTCCTGAAGGGTGTAGATACTTCTGGTAGGCATGTTCTGGGGGTGGTGAACTCTTCCTTTCTAATGACTGGGGAAACAAAAGGCAAACTAAAACTAATACCATGATGATGGTAACAATGGTACAGCTCCTTGGAAAGATGGGGCATAGGTGTGGGATCCATGGAGGAGGTTAGAGTTTGCAAGCAGCTTGGAGAGCCAAAAAAAGAAAGAACAACAGCATGGGGGATACGGAGGCCTGTTTGGCACGTGTTTCCCATATGCTTCAGGCTATCCATCTGAGGAGGTATATTATCTGTGCCAACAGCAAATTGTAAACTGTACCTCTTCAACCAGATGGGTAAGTTCAAAGGGGGAAAAAAAAAAAGTATGCCAAGGCATCTTGGTTTTCATGATCCATGGTGTTTGAGCTTTTGAAGAATGCTTGAAACCCTTTGATTTCTGAGCAGTGGGAGCATCTCACTACATTTTATAGGTAAAGTGGTGTTTTGCAAGTTTCAAAGAGATTAAAGAAATTCTCTTGGTCAAAATTTCCAGATAGCTTGTGGGAAGATATGTAGGAGAGGTTGAACACTCATTACAACTCTTCTGAGCTTGCACATGTTTGCAAAGGCTTGAGACCTGTTCAGGTTCCACAGGGAGGAAGGAGAGGTCCCTTCATTCATCTTACGCAGGTTTTCAAAGAACAGTATTTGCTGTGTGATAAGATGTCCCCTCCCCATCCTGAGTCCCTTGCAAAAACGTTCGAATGAGCATCCAAGCCCAGGAGTACCAGGATGAAATGCTCCTCCTTCCCTATCACTGTTCCTGTCTTCAGATGTAGGCATCACTTCAGAAACCTGTCCCATAGTACAAAAGGCCAACCTTGCCTCATGGAAACTGGGAGATGGGTGTGGAAGAGACACCTCCCGCACATGTTTGACTAAGTGCCTGGGCGCTTGCCACAGGGTTAGGGCTTTATTAGCAACCTGAAGATCTGTTTTCTTCTGGGTAGGAACTGGGTGGCTGATAGATCTACACAATCATCTCCATTCCTTCGCTGAGTACAATAGCTCATGTGTCTGAGTCATCTCTCTGCTCATGCAGGTGAAATAAAGCTTATTTTCTTCCACTGAGCTTTTAGCAGCTAGAGTTGAAGGGGAAAGACTTGCCTTTAGATCTAATTAATTTGTCTGCCTGGGAGGATTCTGAAAAGACTTTTAGTGTTGACAAATGTAACATCCCTGAAAGATTTTCAGAGGATGAATTTTGTAGCGTGTCCTGTTCTGATCACCCATTAAGTCTAGTCTGACCACCTTTATATTGCTAGGTGATTATTTTAACCTATCTACAAAGTTTTGGTTAAGGATCACCTGCCAGAAAAGCATGGTTTCAAGACTTTGAAGGCTCTACCATTGCTAGATTCATCTCGACTGTTAATCACTCACACTATTTGTCCATTTAAGGATATTTTCCCTTTTTCAAAGAAAGAGGGTTCCTGCACTCTAGGGCTGAAAAGCACATAAACACATGCCTGACTCTAAGTTGTCTGTGGCCATTAACATGGTACAATTTAGCAAATATTTAAATGTTTCCTGGATCCATATTTGAATACAGTCAATACTTTCAGGCACATATCCTAAGGACAGTATGCTCTTAAATTGATCAAAGCATCACCAATTCAGGGAAAAGGACAAAATTCTCTATTTAAAAAAAGGCGAGGGGGGGTGTAGCTGAGTGATCTTACAATTTATTTTTATTTATTTTATTAGCGAAACCTTGAAGAAATAATTTTTAAATTCTAAATGGCACAACTTTGCCGATTTGGAGGGAGTAATTAGATGCCATATGTTAGCACTAACACATAGAAAAGTTGATAATTAATGCAGGCAGCTCCGGATCCAGGTGTGACTTTGACAGATTGTATGCAAGGGTTTTTCACAGGCTTAGAAATAGGGATAAAAAGTCTTTTTTCCCCCCTTCCCTTCTGGATGAAAAAGAAAATTATACATAATTAATTATTTCTTGATTTGCTCAAAAGAGAAGGCAACTTCTGGATGGAAAATGCACTCTCTAACTGACTGGACTCCTCAAAAATGTATAAAAAAGGGATATAACTGTGATTTTTCAGAACAGAGTTTTGGGGGTTTAGAATAGAGAAAAGGGAAGTTTGTTGAATCTTCAGGGAGATTTCCGATGATGATTACAGGGTTTAATTCTTTTGTAGTGTACAGAAAATAATCTCTACTCCTTTATTCTCCTGGGTTAGCACAAACGATGTAATACAGCCTGCAAGAAATGCTCATTACTGAAGCAAATTGAGTAAAGCTAAAAAATTAGACCCTTCAGGATGTTGTTCTGCAAGTTGGATGTAGTGCTGTCAGAAGGCAGGAGGCTCGGTTTGAAAAAAGGCCCTCCCAGCAGAGGCAGACTTAAATGTCAGATAACCTTTGATGGCTAACGTAGCCCTCTGGATTCCAACATGGTATCTAGGCGCCCGTGCTAGGGATTGCAGAGCTGGTCTTGATGGAGTTACAAGAACAGCTCATCTCATTTTAAAACAGGTATCTGCACCTTGTCACACAGGGTTCCTGTATTCAGGCAAAAGATTCCCACCCCAAATCCAGCATGCTTAGCACTGGATGTGTCGCACTAACTGCCCTGGCAGCACAGCTAATCTGTGTTTGTGATATGTTTGGATGGATTAGAGGTGAACCCCATAATTAATTAATCAAGATACTATGCAGTTTCACACCTTCCTTCATGTAACTAGAACTTCAGGCCTTGTTCACTGTGACCTTCTGGCTGCTTCTGCTCCATCAATGAGGGGTGCTCAGCCACCCCATCCTACCTAGCTGCTTACGGATGGTTGTGTCTACTTCATCCTCCCAGAGTGGAGCAAAACAGCCAGAAAGTACAACTAGGCCTATGAGCAAGGTTCAGAAATAATGATATCAAACACTTGTCAAAAAATTTTCATTAATTTTCTGGATTTTGAATTACTGAAACCTACCCCTGGTGTGGGAGAGAGAATTATCAAGCAGCAGTGTGAGATACATGCACACAGGTGCTGACCCTGGTGCTCACCCAAAGCACTCGCAGCTCCCAAGCTTTGTCCAGTCCCTCAGAGCTCATTTATTCCTCCTGTCCCTGCAGCTGGAGCTCAGGACATCTATGTGTTATCATGATGACCAATTTTGGGAGTTGGCTGGAAGGTAACAGCCCTATCTACCGTTAATAGCAGGGGAGAACAAGCCATACTGTCTTGCTGGGAGAGGCGAGAGGAGGAGCTGATCTCTTGGCATTGACAGCAGCCAACTGATAACATTTTAGCTGAGACTAAAACTGGACACCTAAACTCTAGTCATCTAAAGTGAGGCAAGATAGCTTTAGACTGCCATCCTTTCTCCAACCAGCAGCTGGTAGCGCCTTTCCCGATCTCGACGCTTTGTTGGGTTCCATGTGTTCAATGCTGGGCTCCTTATTTTACAGACTATGGGAGCATCCCAACACGCACAGGCAAACCAGCAGGCTTGGCTGATCGAAAGGGAAGTTTGCTAACCTCTAAATACGTCTGACCCATACTTGTTGCAGTCTGCTGTCTATTTGATTCTCAAACTATGCCTGCATGGCAGGTGAGAATTCGTTTTAGAAAGAAAGAAGTGGCTGACCAAAAATGCAGAAACAAATCCAGACATCCAGTTTTACAGAGGTGAAAAAGCATTCCTTTCTCTGCATGAGAATATATCATTAAAAACTCTTTTAGCCTAATAATATCAGATGTTCTATCAGATGGAGTGAAAACGTGTCATTTTGGTCCTGACAATTGTCCCTTTAAATGTTTTTTTGTGCTGGGCCCCTAGCCAAAAAAAGAATAGCAATTTTCTTAAGCTTCAACACTGACTAATAGCACTGAATTCAGAGCACGTCATCATATCAATATGTTTTCTGTACTCTGAGCATTCTTCGTGAAATCTGCATTTTTAAGATGTACAGTACATGGGAGCTGGATGTTTAATTTACTATAAAATCACCCTCAAGCTGAAAACCTGCAAATCATGTTAGTTAAATGGCATATTTATAGGTTTACCAGCGAAACTGAAGGAGGCCGGTGGGGAGTTTGTCGTCTGCTACTCTTTGGAAAATTAAAACAAAGCCTTCCTGTTTGCATCTCATTTCTTTTGAATCTCCATGTGATTCTCTTTGGTTTGAGTCTTTGTCCTTGCACCTAAACAGGACCCATGGGACCTCCTTTGGGATGGCGTTGCAGGCATTTGTCCAACTCAGCCAGCAGCTATTTTTAAGAGAGGGTTAGGATCTAGTCACCCACTCTTAGGGTAGACCTGCACACTGTATTTCAAGCCTAAAATCAACCCAAATTTAAATTGGCTGGTACTGGCCGACACACAGGCAGAAGTTAAGAGGTTCATAACACAGAGCAGAAGGCAGCGCTTGGACCCGTGCTTGGCACCAAGGCTTCTCCCAGCCTAACCTTGGTATGGTATGGAGGAATCCAGGAACGGCAGCCCAGCTGGGTCCTTTGCCTCATACCCTTTCGTGCACCCTGGCCGTAGTGCATGGCTATTGTTGAGGGGACAGGCTGGCCGGGGACCTTCCTCAAAGAGATTATTCAAGGCAATATAGGAATTGTGAGCAGCCAAGTTACAGACATTCTTTCACCAGACAAAGTGACTACCTAGACTTTCCTTGTGGCTGTGAGCAAGGCAATCCAGTTTTACCATCCTTAGAATAATTATTAGCAGCATCAAGGCCAATTATATATTATGAATCAAATGTAAAGTTTCATTGTAAGACATAAATACACACACACACATATATATATATATATCAAAATCCCAACTTGCAGGTCTTATTTGCAATCCCTCATATTCAGCTCCTGATCTGTATATAATGGGCTCATCCCATGCATTCATCATTTGTTAACCCTTTCTGAAGGGTTAACCTGCATGTGGAACCTCAATATAAAGTATGAATGAGAATATTGAGTCTTGAGGAATCTCTGCCGAGAAAAACTTCTCCTGGGTATTAAATTCACGCCAATTTTCTTGCAAGCTTGTAGAGCGAGAAGCTGGGATTGTAGGGGCTGGTCTCTGGTTTAGATTCTGAAAAATGCAGTCTTGGTGCTTGCTCATATAAAAGCTACAAATGCTTTTTAAACTCAGTGATTCTAAGGAAAAAAATACTTCAAACACCCCTCATGATCAATAAACATGAACCTCTTATTTATATTGTTGAAATTATTAAATGCACTTAAAGTGTTGAAGTATAATACAAATAAAATCCTATTAAAATAGATGCAGTTTCTTCTTCCTCAGCTGCAATTTATTCCATTTGACAAACTTGTACTAATACAGGAGAGAGTGAGTTGGGGAGCAAGGGAAGATTCTTTTTTTTTTTTTTTTTTTTTCTGTAAGCCCAGAAAAGAAAATACTTTGTTACAAAAATAATTTGCACAATAACAGAAATAAGTAAGTGCACTGCAGACTCTCTGGAGTAAAGCTTTCCTTCTCTCTTTGCTTCCCCGCAAACTCTGACAGTCTGCTCATTAACAGTGAATTGGATTTACATGCCATTTCAAGAGAAGAAGAAAGCACTGGTGTATATACCGTATAATAAGCACTTAGATTTTTCATTTAATATAGATGGGAGGGTGTGTTAACATTTTAAAGTCTTTCCAGGGTGAATTAAGTTTTGATGACCTATTTCATTTTTGACAAGAGTCCACAGCTTTAGTCCTGTAAATTTGAGTTTGATTAACAGGACTGCATGTGTCCTGCTGCAGCAGTCTAGCTTTTGCTGATTTTGGTGACAATGCAGGCAGGAAATATTCTACGAATAATTCAGGTAAAGCACCTTTTTCAAGGTTTTTTGCAAACTCAGCATCATTACGAGTCAAAGGGTTTGGCTCTGGGAAAGCATTATGCAGCCCCCTCGTTAAAGTGATGCCCTAGAATATGCCTTGTGTCCTCTTGGAGGGGAGAGGGCTGTGTCAGTCTGAAAAAAAGCAGGAAAATTTAATGCATTCTTTTTCCAGAGCAGTCATTACACATCTGCCTTTCGAGCGGCACGCATTAAGTTGGTTGAAATTGAAAGCTCAGATAGGAGCCTCTCTCTCAAAACATTTCTCAGGAATATCTTTCATTAGCTCATATCATTACGTGCACAATCCCTTCTTCACCCTCACCCCTGTCATGATTTCTTTCATACATGAGGGAGGTGAGGGAATTTATCTGAATTAAAATCTATGCAAAGATATCTTTAAAAGTCTCTCGAACAGAGGATGCTTTTCTCTTAGAAGCCATGATGGGGAGGCCTATGCAGAATGACTACGGCAGCCAATTAATATGTTATATAAACAGCAAACACCACTAGAAAAAGGAGAGGGAGAAAGAAAAATGAGAGATTTGGGGTGGGAGAGGAAGGGGGGAAGGGAGGTTGTAAGTATAAAGTGTTTGCCTTAGGACTTGTCTTCAGTTACAGAGCGAGATTCACATGACTGGAGCTTGGTTTGATGTGGTAATGAAGCATTGATCACAGGAAAAAGATGAAATGGCCTTTGCTCATTCATTATTTTTATCTTCTAGCTGTGGAAGACAGAAAATTGTTCATAGGAATGGTTTCGAAGAAGTGTAATGAGAATGATATCAGGGTGATGTTTTCTCCGTTCGGCCAGATAGAAGAATGCAGAATCCTTCGGGGACCGGATGGGCTGAGCAGAGGTGAGTGTGCAGTCTGTAAAGTCTCTTTCCTTAAGTGCTAATTGGGAGCTGTATGTCACAGCCAGGGTAGGCATAGCCGCTGTCTGCAGCTAGAGGTTACGCTGTAATATGTCCCACGTGATGAAGGTATCCACATGAACTTTTCACAGTGACTGAAATTATCACCTTCTATTTCCAGTGTCAGAAAGGTCTCGGTGCCAACGTATTAACTTGTGTTATCGCCCTGTTTGTCAGCTGGAAAGGTTTCTTTGCACCCTGAGAAAACACCCTCAGTTTTCTGCGCTCACAAAATCAAAGATCCTTCCCTGACCCCATTTCTGCTTTGTAGCATAAGGCCAACAAAAAAAAAAAAGGACTGTAAATGACTGCTTGGAGGCATACAGGGTCATGGGAACTGGCCCATGTTGTAGCACTATCTCCTCCATTCCTGTGTTTTCTATAACTATATGCAAAACATAGGTCTGCTGTAACTCAGAAACATAGAGGTTAGCTTGAACTTGAGAGCTTTGCCTGGACAAAACTTTGTAAAACGAGCTTTTAAAGCTTGTGCCTCTATCACAACCCAAAACCCAGGGCAGAGGTGTTAAGCAGCACCACTGAGAGCGGTCAAGCGGCTGATCTGAACTTTGGAAATGAAGTGCAGCACAGACTTCAATAGCTGGTGATCCCTTCTGAGTGCAAAAGTGCCTTTTGGGGAAAGGCCCTCTGAAAACATACTGAGAAGAAAAATAAATGTATATTGATGACCCAGGCTGCGTATTAACTCCATGGTATATGGACCTGAAATTATTCTTGGAGCGTGAACCTTCTCAAAAAGTCAGTGCTAGGTGGTGCTGAGTGGAAAAGGAAATAGTGATAGTCCCATCTGTCAGCAGGGAAGGATGCCCTGGTACTAGCCATGGCCATTTAACGGCACAGGGAGTAAAGTAATTTTAAGTGGTGAGCTGTGAAAACATCACTTCTGTTCCTGTAGAAAAAAAAAAATACATAGAAAGCACAGTTTATGCATTTTATTACATTTTCAAAAGGCACAGAAAAAATAATAGTACCCATTTTGCATATAAGTATAGGTATACATATTTTTCTTTACTTTTGGACCTACTTGTTTCCAGTAGGCTATAGGATCCACAGTATTTTGTGCAACAATTTGTGCATGGGGTTTTTTGTTTTGTGTACAGCCCAGCTTCTTTAAAATGCCTATAAATTTTAACAGGGGAACTTGCAGGTATTACTGTATTTCATGGCGCTGCTTGAAAGCACTTGCTATACTACTTCTGAATAATAAGGACTTGTTGAAAAGGCACTCTGACAATAAATAGGGAGCCCCAAGAAAATTGCGCACTTACATTTACACACGCTTAGTCTGCAATCCCAAAACTTTTGGGGCTGGGATGCAGCAGTCCATTCGGGCAAGGAGAGCCTCAGGATCATGGCTTTAGCCTTGGAGAAGACTAGGGAAAAGGTCTGACGCTGGTTCCTGCAGCTCAGTAACGAACGTTAACTGATGGAGTTCAGTGCTGTCATTATCTTTCTAGACCCACCATCGAGGCAAAACAAATAATTCTGATATTCACTGGCTTAATTTTGTAAATAGCACAGGGAAGGGGTGATGGAAGACACAAGTGAGAGAGGAGCTAAGTAACTGCTGAAATAACAAGATTTGGGCATCAGATGTTTTGAGCCCCAGAAAGATTTAATTGATTCCTCAGCATCACCCAACAAAGGAATGGATCTTTCCTGGGATCCATAGAAATCCCACTGTGTACTTGCTTTTATTCAACAGACATTGGGCATAGTACGAGCATAGAAAATCTAATTATGAAGTCCAACAGGGTAAGTAAGGTTGGTGGGGTAGTTTTGTTCTGCCATAAATAGCAATCTCACAGTAATCAGAAGCTGAAGATTTTTAAGCCATGTCACCAACGTATCAGGCAGGGCAGTGTCATCTGCCAGCCAGCAGAGCCAGAGTTAAGGTGCTGCTCTCTGCTGCTGGAGGCTGAAGATCTCAGTCCAGGTAGGTCACACACCAGTAGTCGTAGCAGAGCTGTATCCTCTCTGCCACTCGGGTTTGTTTCGGTCACAGTCACGACGGATATTCTGTCATGACCTCATGCATCATGCCTTGTTAAACTTGAATTGCTTTCTATACACCCATGTTCACACTTGAAAATGAGTTCAGCTGTGCCAACAAGGTTTTCAGGCAGATGTTTATCAGCTTCACAAAACTACCACTCCATGAGAGAAGGCAAAGTGTTGGGAAAATGGTTGGTATTGCAGTTGAAATGAAAAGTGCTAAGGGATATTTGCAGTGGAGAGAGCTTGGCTGAAAGCACAGGGTGAAAAGCTTCTTCACTAAAGCAAGAGGGAGAATTTATACAGTTAAATCTGTGTAATGAGTTCCAATACTTAACAAGTTTTAATTCATGTTATCGTTTCCAAGATGTTAATTCCCTTTGCCACAAACAGTATTTGTGTTCCCAGCACCCGTCTGGATGTGCTTCCCTCCCAGACACAGAGGGGTGAATGAAAAATAGTCGCTGTCTTAGGAAAACACTGTCCTCACCATGCCAGAGCCTTCAGGAACTCGCAGTGCTCACAGCAGTGAGATGGAAATATGGTCCAATAAACTCTGTTTGGCATCTCTTTTCAGTTGCATAGCAAGTGCACATCATGGTATCTCAGACAAAAAGAGCTTGAAAGTGTATTCATTGGTATTTATGCCAACTTTTGAGCTTTGTTAAAGGGTTCAGGCAAATAATCTTTATTACCAGCAGATAGTTGCAAGGAATAGCTCCAGGTTACACTGCCCAGTAGAACAGTTTTGGTTTGCGCTGCTTATTTTTTCTTAGTAAAGAGTAAAAAGCTTTCAGTTGACTATTAGGCCAAGTCTACACTACAACAGCAACCTCACTGCTAGTACGCTGCTGTCAATCCATAGGCAGGGTGTAGGGTTGTAGTGTGCCACATGGCTCCAGTAGCAAGGAGAAATCCCATCCGGTGGCATCAAGGAAAAAGGTAACACTTTGTGATGAGTGTGATGTAAGTGCTAAGATAAAGAGAAAGAGGGAGAGAGATTGAACTGGTGGTTTCTATTGTAGTTTCTAGCCAAGAGTTGACAGAACTTTAATAAAGTCGCACCCATAGCTGTCACTACTGATAATGGACCATCAGCGTTTCTACTCCAAATTCCTACTGTCAGCGCTTTGAAACTCATCTGTAAAACGAGACTAAAATAATGATACAAAGCTCCAGTGGTGGAGCAGTATATTTTAAAGAAACCGAGATATTTTTCCTTGAGACATTTTTTTCCCCACCGTTGTTCACTCCTGCATCTAAGAAATAATTGTTGTTTATACCTGTAACTTGCTACATTCCAGCCAGCTACAAGAAATCGGCAGCAACCAAAAGGCATTGCCTTCTGAAGGCTCTGAGGTAGTCCCTGTGAAATTAGTTGGCTGGCAGAGGGTAATTCCTAGCTGTGAAAAGTATTAAAAAATAAAAATACCTTGTTGGCTGCAGAGATAAAGAAACCAGGGACTCAACAGACATGGAGGCTGGCCTTCGCTTCAGCGGGGTTCATGGGACTATCTAAAGAAGCTTGCCACTGCCTGTACTATATTCATTATTCAAAGAAAAGGATTCAGCCTGCAGGGTTGTTTAATCCAGCACTCTTTCTGAAGAGCTAAGTATGCTTTACAAAAATTCATGATTGTGATATCATGTGCTAAGCTTCATTATCATGAAAAAGCAGAAGTCAACTGCCTCAGATGATTAAGATTTTAAATCACTTATTGTAAACGGCTTAAGGAAACTTTCAGACCTCCTGACTCCTAGCACTGTGTAATGTCTACATGACCATAGATGCCAACACAGCCAGCCATGCAATGATAGCTGGAGCGTGCAAAAATAGCCAGAAATACGCAAGTTTGATTTGTAGCTGTGCCACTCATGTGCTGTATTGACCGTAGGTGAGTTGGTCTCTCATCATCTCTCCATTATCCCATTCCTTAAAATAAGGATAGCGATGCTCCTCTACCTTTGTAAAATGCTTTTTTTAGATCAGTGGATCAATATCTCTGTATCGCTCTAGGAATTATTACCATCCGTAATGATGACAAAAAAAATCCTCTTATCCTTATCACAGGAGCACCACACAGAAAATCATTCTGCTGTATTGCTAAGTGCCGATTTATATAATAAATACCAGAAGGACGTCAACTGGGTTAATAGCATGCATTGAAAAAACCTGCTAATAACATGTACAGACAGTTGGATATACCATGAAAATTGTAGAAAAGCTCCAAATGCACATTCCTACATCTTCTAGGCTCCTAATTGTATGATTTTTCAACAAAAAAATTGCCAGGCACATGGGACAAGTGAACATTCCTGCGGACATTTATTACAGGGATTTTTTTTTTTTTTCTTTCTTTGATTTAAGAGCAGGTTAGAAATGGCATGGAGAGTTACACCATGGTCAGGCAATTTAATTTCATGAAAATCCATTCCTAACTTTCATATTCAGGGGTTTTCTTGATGATTTAGTAAAAGAAAATGAGTATTTCCATCATAATTAATTGCAGTGACGGGTAGGTGAGGAGGTTTTATGCCTATTTGTTTTTTCTTATGGATATTTGCTGCTCCGTCATGAACTAAAGTAACATGAAGTGCCACCCATGGGAGCAGCCTGGATTAGGGGCCACCTTCTGACTGTGTATCAGTGATGGGAAGCAGGCATGGTGGAAGTGCTGTATTTTTATTTGCTCTTCACAAGCACCCCCATGCCTTATTTCTTGTGCTGTAATATGGTAACATTTTAATTTTTTCCAATCATTGTGGCACATTTAATTTTCTTTTTTCCTCTGGTGAAACTCTTTCAAAGCTGGGAAGGAATGAACACGTCCAAGTGACCAGTGTATCTGCTGGCCTTTAGCCAGCGACCCCACATCTCAGTTCTCCATTACTGCATCTTCGCAGCAATCCCTCCCCAGAGGGAAGTC